ATTTGTTCGTCAGCCTGTGCAGGAATCCATGAGCCGAGAACCAAACAGCTGACGTTCACCAAAGCAGCGATCACCGACATCATCGAGTACATATGTTAACACTAGGACATGTAGAATTCTTGGGGGCAAAAAGCTCATTGTTCATGGACAGCAAGAAGCAAGAGCTATTGAATCCAAGTTATGTAGAACCAGTTACCTGAAAACTTTTAGCTTATATTTGTGGCGTAAAAGACTTCATAATGACTACTGCATGGGTTGGTTCATCACTAAATGGAGATCCATTTTATCTGTTGTTAATAAACGTACATCGTCGCAATTATTATTGCAATGTTTGTTGTTGTTTCTTCGAGTATTTTTCTTTGTGATCTTGGATTCACTCATCATTATTACCTCTGGCATTTCTACAGTGTTCCGTTGCTCATCTACCAAGTTTACAGTAACTTTTTAGGGGGGGAAAGGTAGTGTAGGGATTATAGCACCTTCAAGATGGATCAGGGCTAGCCGGCTAGCTTCCTTGAAGCGGACTATCAATTTCTCTTGATGATGAAGATAGTTACTCTTTGGGTGTGGTTGGTTCAATAGTGAGCAAAAATAGGATGGGGAAAATGATGTTTTTTATGGATTCTTACTAAATCTATAAAAATTTTAAGGACAATTTTATATTGTCGTGGAATTTTTTTTCCTCTTTCTATGTTCGTTTCATAACATGAAAAATAGAATTCAACTTTATAAAAACCCTCCAATTCTTATTTTTTATAGAATTCAACTTTATAAAAACCCTCCAATTCTTATTTTTTAGTTTGGCTTGGAATGAGAAATTTTTGGGATAAATGGTGAGAACACCTTAGGTATTCTTATCACTTACTAGTGGACAAAATATTTAAGTAAGAGGTTTGGGTAATCTTACCCGTTTATCAAAATTAAAAAAAAAAAAAAAAAAAAAAAAAAAAAAAAAAAAAAAAAAAAAAAAAAAAAAAAAAAAAACTGTAGCAGCGGCTAGTTCCAAGACATTGGAGGCTATAAATGTGTGTGTCCCTCATTCTTATCACTTTTTTTCAAAATTCTCATAGTTTGCAAGTTTCTCCCCTCCATCAATATGATATCAAAATAATGCCCTAAAAATCTTAAAGTTTGGTGCGATTGCACGATTGCAATCTCCAAACACCCATGAAAGTATGCAAGAATGGTAAAAATAAGGGGAGATATTATTGAGGATTGTGCAAAATACTCAAATAAAGAATATAATTTTTTTGAATGGGCTTATGAAGGAGGAGAAATAAGCAACCAAGGAAACCAATTTATCAAAGAAAATAGGTTCGGAGATAAGTATTTTTTAAAATCAAAGAGGCTGAAGGAAGAATTGAAACTTGTCGAAAAACAACTACTAGCATGGAAATTTTCTGCAATTTTAGTAGTGATATTTTGTATTATTATAAATCGCATGTCTTGTACTTGCAAAAACTATTGATATTGTAATGAAAATTTTATTGGAATTGAGTAAACTATTATTAAAAATCTAGTTGATATTGTACGTCTCAGGAATAGATCATTTTGTCAAAATTGAATGCCCCACCTATAACTTACTGGTTTATTATAGATTGCATTCTAATGATGCATTGTCTCACCTAGACATTGTCATTTCAATGTAGGATGCAATCTTATCACATATTGCCTCATCTGAACATAATAAATGCTCTAAGTTAGATTGCATTCTCAGTAAACGCTAATCATCATTGTCAAATATCAACTATGGAGCATCACAAGCTCCAGTAATTTATCAACCGACAGCAACAAAACCGACAACAACATAGGTGAATAGTTTATTAGGGGTGCAAGCTGCTAAGACATTTTGTGTCAGACATTTCCGCCCTATAAACCGTGCAATTAGGTTACTAGGTAACATTGCGTCAACGTGTTTACCATCTATCAAACCAATGCAGTCCTATAAAAAATTATAAATTATAAAATATTCAATAAAATAGTTATTCATTTAAAAGAGATTTTAAGGCGTATATATTATTTTTACCTTAAAATAAGGAAAATAATTTGAGTTGTTTACAATCTCCACAAGAACTTCATTTGGAGCTTGCTTCATGTAGCTGTAGGCTGTCTAAAAATCACAATAGATAGCTTATCCTCCATCAAACACCGATGATGGAAGTTACAATTTGACAACTTCCAGAAGGCTACAATTTAAAGACTTTCACGTAGATCATTGAAGGTTACAATCTGACGACCTTCACGACAACCGATGAGAGCTCTAGTTCAACAGCATTCATAATCAACATCGGGAGTTACAATCTGACGACTCTCATATTCTTAAGGAGCCAAGACGAAGATTACAAGACAATGATCTTTACAACGCTATGACAAAAGAGATTACTTTGTGATAATCTCTTCAAGACAAGACGCGGAGGTCCTCCCCGTGTGTCAACATCAAAACGCGAGGGTCGAACCCGCGTTACAACATCAAAACGCTGGAGTCGATCCCGCGTTACAACATCAAAACGCGAGGGTCGAACCCACGTTACAACATCAAAACGCCAGGGTCAAACCCGCGTTACAACATCAAAACAATGGAGTCGATCCCGCATTACAACATCAAAACGCGAGGGTCGAACCCACGTTACAATATCAAAACGCTAGGGTCAAACCCGAGTTACAACATCAAAATGCTGGAGTCGGACCCGCATTACAACAAGCGAAACGTGAGCGACCCTCGCTTTCTGGATGTTCAGTCAACACCCAACCTCGCGTCTCAATCCTAAGACGCGAGGTTAGGGTCCTGAACGCCAGGTTGGGCGTTTCACTCATTCAAATATGAGTCGAACGGTTTCAGAACCATTTTCCCCACGATCTGAGGAAATCACGCCCACTTAGGAGCGGATTTAGAGGGCAGTTACACCCCCTTAATCCCCTATAAAAGCGAGTAAACTCAACTGAGTTCAGGGTTGGATTTTCTTGGCTCAGATCGACCACTGAAGGCTGGCATTTTTTTTCGGATCTGGGACTTGGCAGCAGAAGAGATCGACATTCATCTTTTGGGATCAGTCCTGAGAGCCTTCGGCCTTGGCTTGACAACCGAACTTTCGGTTCAAATCAACTCTTTTACAGAGTTCTTCTAAACTCGTTCAGAGTTCTCAAACTTGTCACGCAAGTTCTCCACAACGTCGAATCGTGAGAAGAAGACATCGTTCCAGTGAAGCAAAACGTCGGATCGTCAACGGAGAGCAAACTCGACGCGAGCATTCGAGGGAGGCACTCCATCGCCACCGAGAAGAACCAAGTTTTAAATAAAGGAGAGAACCAAATTCGTTCTCTTATCTTTTGTAATCAAATTGTAACCGGAATCAAAAAAATACAAGTCAATTTTCTTTTGTTCTTTTCATCAACTTGTCAATCCGCTTCCATAGGATGGCAGGCCCACAAAACTATCACGTTAATATTTACCTCTGATAGTCTATCAACTTGTCAATCCACTTCAATAGGATGACAGGTCCACTAAAACTATCACGTTAATGATCACCTCTGATAGTCTGTTTTCTCCAAATTCCCCCATCAATCCTCTTCAGGTAGGATGACGGGTCTATCAAAACTATCACGTTAATGATTACCTCTGATAGTCCATTTCCTCTAAATTCCCCACAAATCCTCTTCAAGTAGGATGGTAGGTCCACCAAAACTATCACGTTAACCGTTACCTCTGATAGTCCATTCCCTCTAAATTCTCCTGCCAATCCTCTTTAATAGGATGACGGGTCCACAAAACTATCACGTTAACAGTTACCTCTGATAGTCAAACTCATCAGATAATGACCTACCAGGTGATGTGCCTCTATTTTGACTTCATGGATAGTGCCTCACTAGGCGATGTGCCTTGTCTACCTCTTTTTCTTCCCCTGCTAAGTCTTAATCAAGACTGGGGGTTGGTTACTTGGAATCCATTGGATTAAGAGTAACGAATATTTCACATCGTCGAGTTAACATTACACTTCTGACGATCATCATCCCCACAAAGTATGCATTCAACTTGCATCACTCCTAATTTGTCACGTTAACAATATACCTCTGACAACAATCAACTTATCAATCATTGACAATAGGATTATAAGTCCTCAAAATTGCTCAAATCGCAATCTTCCCCAGCAAGACGCTAAGTCTTCAAAATCTTGTTCAAATCACAAGCATCAAAATTTATCGCTTTTGATGATAAACTCATTTAGCAAGTTTCCCTAGCGAGACACTAATTCCTAAAATCTTGTGCAAGTCACAAAATATATTCCTGTCACGTTAACAATATACCTCTGACAACTATCCACTTATCAATCCTCGTTAATAGGATGATAAGTCCACAAAGTTGCTCCGATCGCAACACATCCCTGTCAAGTTAACATCAAACCTCTGACAAAATTCACTTATCAATCCTCTCCAATAGGATGATAAGTCCACAAAGTTGCTCCGATCGCAACACATCCCTGTCAAGTTAACATCAAACCTCTGACAAAATTTACTTATCAATCCTCTCCAATAGGATGATAAGTTCACAAAGTTGCTCCAATCGCAACACACATCCTGTCACGTTAACACTAAACCTCTGACAAATTCACTTATCAATCATCTCCAATAGGATGATAAGTCCACAAAGTTGCTCCAATCGCAACACACATCCTGTCACGTTAACACTACACCTCTGAAAAAAATCCACTTATCGACTCTCCTCAATAGAGCGATAGGTCCATAAAATACTGTTAGGTTAACATCACACCTCTAACAGTCAAACCCCCCCAATGAACTTGTTAATCCTTTTTCAACAAGAATAGCAAGTTTTCATTATGAAATACCCAACGGATTAAAGATTTTCTGGAATCATCCTAGTGATAATAAAGAAAATTTCTGAATTTCACTCTAAGTGGAAATTCATGCCAAGTTAATATTACACCTCTGGCGCTTCTAACTTTCTTTCAGTGTTTTAAGTAACACAGGAAGAAACAGTGGCAAAGCCTACGTATTCAACATTGTAGCACCAAAATCCATGCCTCACATGCATGGGGGATTTTATCTCGATCCCTAATTAGAGATAAGTCAGCATCTAACACATGCTGCCGGGTAACTTATTCCCGTAATAATAGCAAAGCCTACGTATTCAACATCGTAGCAGGTTGTTATTAATAACACCGAAATTCATGCCTCACACACACATGGGGGAATTTATCTCGACCCCTAAACAGAGATAAGTCTGCATCTAACACATGCTGCCGGGTAGCCTATTCTCGCGATAATGGCAAAGCCTACGTATTCAACATCGTAGCAGGTTGTTATAAATAATGCCAAAATCCATGCCTTACACGCATGGAGAAATTTATCCCGAATCCTAAGTAGGGATAAGTCAACGCCTAACACGCGTTGCCGGTTAGTCTTTTTCCGTAAAAATGACAAAGTCTATGTATTCAAAATCATAGCATCAAGTCTAAGAGGGTTCATTCTCTTAGCACAACGTTACATGTGAAACGGATTCAAATAATTCACATGCTAGCCCGACTCAAACGGTAGTCGGTAAAGGCTTATCAAATCCGTTGATGGCTGAGGGTTTGCTAAAAATCCTATGCATGTTCGTAGGTCCATTAGCTTAATGGATGTGAGCCGAGACTTGAAACAGATGAGCTAAAGACAAGTCTCAAAGACTTAGTCAAAAATACACGGAAGCCACTTCCATGTCTTGAGTTAAAACGCCGAGGTCAAACCCGCGATGCAAAACCCAAACGCTGAGGTCAGACCCGCGATGCAAAAACCGAACGCCGAGGTGATGCGGCATAAATATGTACCAAAAAGGTTGCAAGTGCACAACCGTGTCAAGTTATAGTATTTAAGATATCGATCCCACGAGGAAGGTGTTTTGTAGGAGAAAATATAAAATTGGTTCTTATTTTGTGTGCGTGACAAATAGGAGTGATAAGTGAATGTGATTGTGGAGAGATAGAGAGAGTGGAAGTGATAGTGTGTAAATCAGCACGAGATATAAAAAGAATGAGTATGATCAATAAGGTGAGAAGGAAAAATGAATAAAATTAAGAAACAAATAAAAAAATCAAGAATGAAGAATAAAATTCTAGAATAAAAGAAAATGCAAGAAATTAAAGATGGTGGATTCAATTATAGATATGGGTAATCTACAATTAAACCCACTTCTTAGAAAAAGGTGATTCCCTAGAGGGTTCTAGCCTAAAGGCGAATCAAACAAAATAAAAATAAACAAAAAGAAAAACTAAACCCAAGAGGGTTCTAGCCTCAAGGTGAATAGTATAAGAAATTAAAATCTAACTGTAGGCTGTCTAAAAATCACAATAGATAGCTTATTCAAACAGGCTCCGACAACGGAGGTCACAATCAGACGACTTCCCAATCACTGCATCCGCAACTCCACAATTGCCACAAAAGCGACCTCACTTCTGAGATGATTGATCTTGATGGCTGTGACAACAGCATGGCTAATATCATAGCAACTATTAGAGATGCTGATGAGCAGTGGGACGATTTCAGAAATAAAAAGTTGGACTCAGTTGGTGAGTTGCTTGATAGAGAGCTATGGGCGAATATTCATCTTTAAGACACTATGGATGTTGATTCCCGTCTAGCTCCTACAACGAAAGCT